TCAACGTTTTTGTAATAGTAATTTACTTAAACGCAACAATTTTAAAAATAATTTACACATTTATTCAATATTTCTACAAGAATCTTAAAGGGAATGCATATAAGAACGGTATTGGATAATGAAAGAAAGATCACTGAGTTTTATTGACAGAACTGATTTTGAATTCTACATTCTACCAACATCCGCCATGGCAAATTTACCCAATCAAGCGGAAGAACTGACTCCCTCAGAAATAAGGGGACAGTAATAGTACAACTAGTAACTGAGAAAAGAGGAGAGAAGAGAGTATCAAATAATTCTTAAAGCATGATCAACGGGGTAGTTGGATCAAGTGGTAAGCGGCTTGTTCCAGCTTAAATAAGGTGTCGAGTTCGAGACCTTGTGAACGCAGCAGCCCTCGCTCGGAAACTTACCCACCATTTCCAGGTGCACGACGCGGGTCAAGTCCGAATTAGTCGGGGCGAAGCCCGGATACCGGGCGGAAAACCGAAAAAATAATTCTTAAAGCATCACAAAGAACACGAAGCAAGTTATGGTCTTCTTTCAGTCAGCTCTTGACTGGCCAGCTCGGGAAGAAAGGATGATACCTACAATCAAGCCATAGAGTGCCAGTGCTTCAGCAAAGATGAGAATGAGGATCATCCCAACAAAGAGTTTTGGCTGCTGTGCATTGGCTCTGTAAAAATTCATATTCATCAGCATTAAATCATTAACAGGGCCAGCACTTCCATCAATGAGAATGAAATGAATGTCAACAGCACACAAACCTCAAACGCATAAAACTAGCAAGGAACCAAATTACACTCATCTTTCCTTGAGAAACTATCACAAGAAACCCGATAGCAACTTAATCTGGTCTAATTAATGTCAACAATTCCCAACGCCCAAATATTAAAGCAAAGCAAAATTCTAGAAACCTCCCAACAACAAAACAAAGCACAAAATCCGCAAAACTAAAAGGGTAAAAATGTTACAGAGGAACATCAAACAAACTAAAAGAAGAAGAGCAAAAATATAATCTTAACAGGATAATGAAATTAGTCCCTTCATAACACGTCTATAAAAGTACTAAAAGCTGAATAATTGCAACATAAAATGTTTTACAGTTCAAGTCATTTATGATGAAGTTATACTATGATGTTAGTGATACAATCCATAGGCTTTGTTCAAAAAAGTCACAAAATCCTACTTAAGAGAAAACTATTCAAACACTCCATTAGCAAAAAAGTACAATTAACACTAATAATTTCACTTACAGAACACTAAAAATCATTAAAAAAAAAAAAAGAAGAAGAAGAAAGCAAAAATTGATTGAAGGGTATCATCCAAAGGATAGTTGGTATTAGTAGTCATCACCCATCAGCCAGATTCAAGCCATACAAAATAATCATAAGAAAGCAATCAAAACACATACAAAACAATGCCATAAAACGATGTAATGGAAAAGCCAAAGAACATAAAATGAATGAAAAGAAATACCTAACACCAGCATCTCCAACGATCCCAATAGCCATGCCAGCGGAAAGACCAGCGAGGCCACAAGCAAGTCCAGAAGAGAGATGAGCATAACCATCGAAGAGGTAGTAAGATTTAGCCTTGGGATTGATTCCCGTACTGATGATAACAGCAATAATCAATCCATAAATACCCAGCACACCAGCCATAACAACGGGCACGATCGACTTCATCACCAGCCCCGGTCTCATCACACCCATGGAGGCCACGCCCACCCCGCTCTTGGCGGTCCCGTATGCAGCCCCCATACCTGCGAAACACCCGTCACAGCTCCAGATCCACATCTACCAGAAACAGATATGTACACAATAAGAAAGCAATCAATCGGTTGCAATTGATTACATGAGAAAACGAGGGCGGCGGCGGCGCCGAGAAAGCCGAAGAAAGGAGCAGTTTCATCGCCGCTGAAAGTCGAGGACATCTTCGGAATCTTATCCGACGGAGAGAAAATACTCTCCTCCGGTCAGTAGAGAACGTAGCGAAGGAGGGCGAAGCAACCCACTGGATGATAAACTGATATATGAAGTTGGGCTTTTTCAGCTGGGTCAGGATATTTAGATCCATTCATTTATCCACTTGATCCGGCCCATAATAAATCATAGATTACAATATAATTCTTGGTTGGCTATAAATTTATTAGGGATGTGCTTTCATGACAAATCAGAGATTACACTTCCTCACGTTGTTTTAGATTTTATATATATATCTTGCTATTTTAAAAATATATAAAATATTAATAAAATATATAAAAATAATTAAAAATAATAAAATTTTATTTTTATCTTAAATAAAAATGCTGTCTGGAAAGATTAGTAAAAAATTTAGAGAAAGGAAACCTAAAATCTATAATACGGTTACCTGCATTTTATGGAATAAAGAAAATTATGGTTTTTTTAAAGAAAAAATGTTTTGCCGCCCAAGCATTAGAGTGCAATATATAAATTTTTGAATGAAAAGATATGTTTTAATTATTAGAATTCTCCTCCATTTAAGAATTTATTTTTTATAATTTAATATAACTTAAACAATAAAATAGCGGCTCTCCACGTTATGGATAGAGTGGTTCCACTTTGTCCATAAGCAAAAACACTGATAGGAGGTTTGAGTTTTAACTCCTAATTCCCTCTTTCCTTACCCCTTTAGTAGTTGGAGATAATTGTCTTTGTTAAAAAGAAAAAAATAAAATGATGGATTTAATTTTTTAAAATTATTTTTTTAAAACAAAAGTAATTATCTATTACAACTATTATATATTTGTAATAAGGAGGTGGAGGTGAAAATGTTAAAGGTTAAATACAATACATTCCAATGGAGTTTCTACTTATAAAATAGAGTTCTATCACTCCACTCATAGGAAAAAAATAAATAAATAGATTACTTTGTGCGTATGCACCGGAGAAAACGGTGCGTTTGGACTGAAGTAAAAAAACCTTGGCATTTTCCGGCTCTACAGGGCCACTTTTTTTTTTTTTTTAATCTTTATTGGTCCGATTATTAATCTTGATGGATTTGGATAATTGGGTTTTGTGAACTTTATGGGTTTGACTTCGGATCCAATCACTATCTGCTTTCATCGGGTTAGGCCTTTATTGAGACCAATCTTGAGCTAAGAGATGAACGGGCCTGGTCCATATCATCCAGAATGCATGCATGAACTACAAAGTCCATTGAACAAGTTGTTGTTGATTTTTTCCTCCTTCCTTCTTTTTTTTTTTTTATAAGGGTAATGGTTAGAGATTAGTATGTTAGAGGTGTTAGTAGAGGGTATTAAACCCAGCACATGAGAGTGCAAATCACGGGTTGCCCCAAGTGGCCACTGGGCCACGGCACATGGAATGCGAGTTTTTTTTTTTTTTTTGATAAAAGCAATGGTTAGAGGTTAGTATGTTAGAAGTGTTAGTTGGGGGTATTGAACCCGGGACATGAAAGTACAAACCCCGGGTTACCTTTTGGGCAGCAAGTGGTTACTGGGCCACAGCACATGAAATGTGATTTTTTCCTTTTTTTTTTGTTCTTTCTTTAATAGGAAAATGACAGGGATTGATGGAATCATGTGGAAAGGAAGAATCTGATCTAAAATCCCAAAGAGTTGATAGCATGAAAGCCATAAACTGTAGTCTTATCAGTTAGTTATATAGCTGGCTTAAGAGAGGGACCAACATCTTTGTCAGTTTATATTTGCATGTTAACCACAAATCCCTTGATAATAACAAGTGCATCTGTCTCAATTTTCCCACATGCAGCCTCAAAACCTGCATGGCCCGAATAGACCAGACCATTGTCTTGTTTCATCGTTAACTACATTATCCAAGCTGTGCTATGATGACAGTAATTGATGGAAAATGTTTCTAACATGACTTCTAATTAATTAACTTGTTCAATCATATTCTTTGCAATTGGCAGATTATTAGTTATGTTTTTAATTAATCCAATAAGTATTTTGAAGGAATAATTTCTCGTAAATTCCTTAATTTTAAAGTGTATATATATATATGTTGTATGTTTTTAACTAGTTTGACAGGTGTAAACTAATACGTAAAAGGCTGACAGATAAGTTTGTGAATTGAATATAGAAGTAAAGGTCATCTTGATCCAGACTAATTAGGACAGTCATTAGTCTTAAGTACCGTTTTGATTGATTGTTTCTGCATAAATTGTTCAGTTTTGTAAGTTCACCAAGGAGAATAAACATTTCAGGATCCTTAATCAGCAACAGAGGAATCCACAAACAAACAAGTGACATTTTGGATGAAAATTATGCAAGCTAGCGGGCTCCATCGTCAGACCATTGAAAGACTATAGACGTTAGCCTGTCTTGCTTTAATGCAGAAACATGCTCTTTTATTTGAGAATGAAAAAGTTTATTTAGCTACTCCCTTTTTATTATAGTGTAATTCAGATTATAACAAATCACATTATATTAATCATTAAAAAGAGATGAATTTTT